GAAGTTTCAAAGGTCGATTTAATCTTGCAATAACTTTCAAACGGGAGAGTTGCGTCTCTTACATGTCCACAGATGGTCTCGGTCGACTGTTTTCAGCACTATGTAACTTTGGAAGCGTGCTGCAGTTCTCTTGTGGGAGGTGATTCAGTGTTTGTTGTGGTTGTCTTTCTAATCAGTGATGTTTGCTTGCTGCTGCTTCTAGGAGAGAAAACCCCCATGATGCAGTGGTGCTTCACCCTAAACATAAAGGGAAAACTCTGGAGACTCTGTCAGAACACAGGTACAGTGGAATCGTCTCCTCAGCCAGTTGTGTTTGTTGTTCTCTCTGGTCATTAGTGACGACAGCTTGACTTCCTTCATTGTGTTTGTGCAGCGTGATCGGCACCAGCTCCCTGCGCCGCGCCGCTCAGCTGAAGAAGAGATTCCCCACCTGGACTTCAAAGATATTGTATCTTTCAAAAGACTCTGTGGTGTCAGTCAGAACCTGATCAGAGCAGGAAACTTTTGATCTACATGTTTAAGAAGCTTTCAGGGGGAGGTGCTAACTGGTCAGAATGAATATTTGTCCCTCAGCTGTTTTCCTGAGCGTTTTGTTTTTTAGCGTGGGAATCTGAACACGCGTCTGAAGAAGCTGGATGAGAAGGACGACTTTGCCGCCATCATCCTGGCTGCTGCCGGTCTGCGGAGGATGGGCTGGGAGAACCGGATCAGCCAGGTATGAACACTTGGTGATGGTCTGAAGTGGTCCCTGTGAAGTCTGCAGGTAACATGTCTCATGTAACATCTGATCTTCTCCTCTGCTAGATCCTGATGCCTGAAGACTGTATGTACGCTGTTGGACAGGTATGAGCAGGGGGGGCTGCAATATGACTGGTTCACAGTAAACTACATACAAGAGTTTATACCATGGCCTGGGTGAATACTCGATTCTGATAGGCTGCAGGGTGTTCAATATTTCCTGACAGTCAGACATCTTCTAAGTTTAGAATGAACGTGTTGGCTACAGATCAGCCTGTTTCTAAACTGATTCAACACTGCATCATCCTCTAAATGCCACAAGATGGCGCTACAAGCTGGAAAAACATCATAAATCTGTACATAGAGACTTTGTATTACATCAGAGGTTTAAAAAGTTTGCCAATAGGGGGGCTGCAGAATCAACACAATTGATGTGTGTGTGTGTGTGTGTGTGTGTGTGTGTGTGTGTGTGTGTGTGTGTGTGTGTGTGTGTGTGTGTGTGTGTGTGTGTGTGTGTGTGTGTGTGTGTGTGTGTGTGTGTGTGTGTGTGTGTGTGTGTGTGTGTGTGTGTGTGTGTGTGTGTGTGTGTGTGTGTGTGTGTGTGTGTGTGTGTGTGTGTGTGTGTGTGTGTGTGTGTGTGTGTGTTCTCAGGGGGCTCTTGCAGTGGAGGTCCGAGCCCGAGATGAAGACCTCCTGGAGATGGTTTCTGTCCTCCATGATCATGACACTGTGCTGCGCTGCATAGCTGAGAGAGCCTTCCTCAGACGCCTGGTACACACACACACTCACACACACACACACACACACACACACTCAGTTATTTGAACACAGTTTGAATATTATGACTGTGTGTGTCTTTGTAGGAGGGGGGTTGCAGTGTTCCAGTAGCTGTACACACTGAGTTGAAGGACTCCCAGGTGAGCGTGCTCCACAAACACCACACTCTGCACAGTCAGCAATTCTCTGCCTTCATAAAAAGATTCAATTCAGTCCCATGGATATGGGGAGAATGTCCCTCCTCTGACTTCCTCCATCACAGCTGTCTTCCATGTTTGTTTTCATTGAATGTGATTGATTCCCGCTCCTGCTCATCCGGCCAGCACAGATCTGAGATGAGTGTGAGGTCAGAGTCTCATAAATTCAGACTCAGGCCACATTGCTAAAGATTCGACTGCTTATGAAGGTGGTATGAATCTGATTATTAAAGATCAGATCCAGTGTGACTTGTGCTGCTCAAACTGTCAGAAAGAAAATCACATTTGATTCAAATATGAGCAACAATATGTGATTATGGTCACTTTGGCTGCAGTGTGAAGCGTGATGTAGACTCTGTAAGTTGATATTCCTGCTCATTATTTTTGCTCCTGAGCTCAGACACTTTGATTTTTTCCTCCCAGCTCTACCTGACGGGGGCCGTGTACAGTCTGGACGGATCAGACAGTCTGAAGGAAACCATGCAGACGAGCATCACTGCTACTGGAAAGGTAACAGCTGAGTGCAAAGTGTAGAGACCCCAAGAAACATGTGATATGTGTTCACTCTTTAGCCAACCTTTAACCATAACTTGTGTGACAGAGTCTGGAGGGGGTGGAGAAAAGGGTCCAGCGAGTGGGAGTCACAGCGAGCAAGATCTCTGGTGAAGCCCAGGACCGGGCTGAGCGACTGGGGACAGACCTGGCCAACTTACTGCTGAGCAAAGGAGCCAAAGAGATCCTGACTGTAGCCAGGCAGCTCAATGACGCCAGATAATCCTGCACGAGCTGAGGGGCGGGCCATTGGATGAGTGGGCGTGTTGTGAGGAGGAGGCGTGTCTTGAGGAGGAGGGGACGTGTCTGTCTCGGCATCATGTTGAATAAACTCCACAGTTTATTTTTTCTATCACATGTTTGACGTTTATTAAGAGAACGCTGACTTCCTGACTTGTGAGCTCTGCAGGTAAAGGTTTAGGATTTTAATCTCGACTTTGACCAAAGCTGCGCTCAGTGTGGTTCACTGCTGCTCAAACGACTGAGTCTGTAGCGCTCAGGCTCTTTGTTCCCTCCTGTTCTTACATAGAGAACCTTCTCCTGAGCCATGAAGCCTTACTGGGATTATCAGAGAGAAACACCAAACTGCCTTCAATCATAGTCGCAGCTGTTAAAGAATCCTCACTCTCTGATAACCTGCTGGTTCAATCTGTCTGATGTTTTTAGTCAAATCTCTGTATCAATAAGGAATGCTGTTAAAAATCTGCATCCTTAAATATTTATCGTCTGTTTCCTTTAGACTTCATGCTGAGTCAGAGAAGCTAAAGCCCTGTTTTTTAAGTTGTCCTGATGTATCCCAGGCTGTAACTTGTAGAAATGTAGGCAACATGACTCAGCATTTTGTTATTTTATAAGTGTAGGTAAACGATGCAGTGCAAATAAATAATTCAACCTCAGGCACATAACTGTTTGTGAAGAAACAAGATAAATGCATACAGAATGATTTAAATAAAGAGATCTTATTCATGACTCATAAATACCCTCACGCTGCCAACCTGCATTTACTTCAAGGCCCACCAGGGGACCGCATCCCACACTTTGGAACCATTGGTGACAGAGCAGATGTAAATACACGTCATTGAACTTTAAATTTCACAGCATGTTTGTGCAAACCATAACAGTGTCACACAGCTGTACAGCCACACTCACTTCACTGACTCTTAATTTAATAAATGGCCCAGAGCAGAAGATTTATGGTAACACGATAAAGATATGTTTGTGGTTGTGTTGTCTGTATTTTGGTTTCTGGTTCTGCTGTGTTTGTGCATTACAGTTTCTAAATGACCCACATGTTGTCAAACTGATGATGTGACTTTTCTATTAACTGGATATTTATAAAGAAACAATAACTAACATGGATGCTTTAGGGCAGGTTGAGAAAGAGTTTGTTAAGGGAGTTTTGTGATTAGCCTCTATTAAACGTTTTTGAAACCAAACTGACGAAGTGTAATGATCTATGATTTGACTGCTGAAGACTTTTAGAATTCATGTAATCTATTAATAATAAAGCATACGGATTATTTCATCAGTCCAAATATTTGTATTATTATTATGTAATATTATTATGCATGAAAACTTTTTCTTTATTTCTGGAGTTACTGAAATATAATATATAACCTGTTTGTTTCTCAGGAATTAGTATTTGTGAGTATGTCCCTAAATCAGCAACCTTTATCTACACTATAGATAAAGTTCATTATCTAGACTAAAACTGAAGCCCTGAGTGATAATATCAAAATCATTCAACAAGATTAACTGTTGTAGCATTTATGTTGAAACATTTTCAACTTTTATCCTAATTTACCTCACACATAAACACCTTTTTTTAAATGTATCTCCATCAGTTGCCTGTTAAATCATTCAACATAAATATCTACTCTTTGGGCATGGAGACTATCCCTTCATCCAGTGTATCCTCTGGAGTGACTAGGGTTTATCTGAATTTTTATATGAATAAAATTAAATGAATTAAAAACATTTTAAACTACTGCTGCTTTATGGTCTGTGTACAAATAGAATATTATGAAGAATATGCTATTTTTGAAAACTCAAGGAATGTATTTTAGTTCATTAATAGTAGACAATTGATTGCAAGACAATGTTTTTATTTTATTTTTACAATTGAATAAACAGAAAAAATGTCATTACAATACTGTTAAAAGCAGCGGTTTTACTCAAACTCAAAAAATTAAAATCATATAAAAGATGTAAAATAAGAGACAGAAATTATTAAGAATAAAAAAAAGCAAAGGTTTTATTATTAGTCCTTTAAAATACAGTTATATTATATCTTGATTTTTTATTTTTCAGGCCCGGGGCAGGGGGTTCTTACCGGCCACCGTTGAAAAAGTCCAAGGAATATAAGGCATATGAGAATACTCTACAAAGAGCAAAAACATGAAACAGAAAGTCTGGGATTTCTTACTTTAATTAATTGTACAACATCTTTGAGAATAAAATAAAACTACAATAAAACACAACAATTGTGTTCTTCCCTTCATTTATGAGGGAAGAATTGGGCCGGTTAAATTAACACATTTATTATTTATCACATTTAATAATGTGTATCAGTCAATTTAAAAAAAAAAAAAAACATTCATTCAGCGTTAATGCCTTGATATTTGCAGTAGCCTATATGTTTGATCAATAGAATGTAAATGTTTAAAACTTACTTTCATAGGTCTTGTGTTATTTTGGTATGTTTTATTTTGAAACATTTTTCCGGAAGTAGGCTACTTCATTGACGCTGGGAGATTAGAGCTCTTCAAATGTAAAACCTTTTCGTGCACTGTGGGTTGTTTGTACAGATTATAAGGAACAATTGAACAACGTGAAGTCTCCACAATGATCTGTATACTGCTGGTAGCCGGGCACGGCACCGTTTTAGAGACTCAGATTAAGGTAGGAAGCTTTTAATTCACGCTGCAGCAGAAAGGAGGTAATGTGAGGCGGTGCAAAGTTCAGGTTTGTTATGAAGCCTTCATACTCACAGTCAATATGTACAGACACAGGTCACAGCACACCGAACTGCTGTCAGTATAACCTGTCAGTGTAAGTGTTAAGGTTAAAACAGAAGTCAGTGCATAGTGACCGTGAGCGGGGCACAGACCGAGTTACCGTGTTATCTGGTGACTTTCAACCCAATGCGCCGTTACACAAATAAGTCTTCTAATGAATGCCTCTTTGTATAGTTTTTCATTGAATACATTTCTGATGAGTTTTTTATTTTATTTTCATAATGTGTACATTAGCCAGCATCCTTAGACACACTCACAAAAAAAACGAGTACAAGAGATCACCGTTCTTCTCCATACTCCTCCACTCCCACCCCTGTACAGAAAATAAACCAACAAATTCAGGAAAGAATAATAATCAAATAAAACAAAAAGCTAGAAAACTTAAATTTTCAAGTATTACAAATATTCTTGCACAAAATCTGCATATTTTATATAAAATAAATCTCAAAGCATCAGAAACAAAAGCAGCTACAAAGTTATGTGAGCAGTAACATACTAAGTGAGTAGTTCATGGTAGTTCATATCTTTCCAGATGAACTTGGGGCCTTCTCTCTTCCAAGACTATTATTGAACACCACTGGGAGAACTTTCAAAGTAGGAAAATGAATAGTATCCAGAGGTCTTGAAACATTTGTCCTCGGTTGTAAGTTTCTCTAAGGTAACAATTCTGAAAGTTGATCTAGAAACATCTTAAAGGTTGGGGAGATTCATTTTTACAAAATAAAAGAATGATGAGTATTTTTGACATTATAATAAAAAAACTAAAATAGCCATTCATTACACTTCACATCTTCAACATCTGCTGTCGCTACGACAACCACAGATGCATTGGGCTGAAAGTCTCCAGTTAACATGGTCACTGTTTAGACTGTAACACCCGATTACAGCCAACCCAACAACCAAACCACTTTTTCAATACAATATCCTATTTATCATTAGCTCTCAAACTGTCCTCACTCTCATATTATTTCAGAATATTAGTATTGTTTCGATTTTTTTCATTCACATTTAGCAATTTGTTGTCTCGTAATTTCCTGAATGTTGTTGTTTTTTGCATTATTTTAGGTTTATGTAAAAAGATAAACTGCTGGCTGTGACTTACACACCCATTCTGAGAAGCCCATTTTTACTGCAGAAATAAACATGTTTACAGACTAGTTCATAGAAATGTGGTCTGAATAGTTAATTTATCGATCAGCACACATTGTAGGCCTACAGGTGTTTACTCTTTTGATTTTGTGAAGGCTAAGAGTTATTAATTATAAGGAAAGCTTTGGTACCATTTTGACCAATCATTGAAATAACAGACAGTATATTGTTTTTAAAACACTTGGTGTTGCCAAGTATCAAAGTATTGAATATTTTGATGACCTTGATCTTTTCATCCATCCTTTTCTTTCACGTCTGCCACCTAGAATGATGACACAGGCTTATACAGCCACCTGACCGGAGTACCGAAGGCCTTACTTCCTGGTACTGGAGGAAAGAAGATTCTTGACTTTTGGTGGGAAACTGTCAACATGTACGTAACAGTGGCAAGTTATCCTACAAGTTATCCTACAAGTTATCCTACTAGTTATCCTACTAGTCATCCTACTAGTTATCCTACTAGTCATCCTACAAGTCATCCTACAAGTTATCCTACAAGTTATCCTACTAGTTATCCTACTAGTTATCCTACTAGTTATCCTACAAGTTATCCTACTAGTCATCCTACTAGTCATCCTACAAGTCATCCTACAAGTTATCCTACTAGTCATCCTACTAGTCATCCTACAAGTTATCCTACTAGTTATCCTACTAGTTATCCTACTAGTTATCCTACAAGTCATCCTACTAGTCATCCTACTAGTCATCCTACAAGTCATCCTACTAGTTATCCTACTAGTTATCCTACTAGTTATCCTACAAGTTATCCTACTAGTTATCCTACAAGTCATCCTACTAGTTATCCTACAAGTTATCCTACTAGTTATCCTACAAGTTATCCTACTAGTTATCCTACAAGTCATCCTACTAGTTATCCTACTAGTTATCCTACAAGTCATCCTACTAGTCATCCTACTAGTCATCCTACAAGTCATCCTACTAGTTATCCTACTAGTCATCCTACTAGTCATCCTACTAGTTATCCTACTAGTTATCCTACAAGTCATCCTACTAGTCATCCTACTAGTCATCCTACTAGTTATCCTACAAGTCATCCTACTAGTCATCCTACTAGTCATCCTACTAGTTATCCTACAAGTTATCCAACCTTCTATGACCAGAGAAGGTAGGCGTTTTAAAGGCATCCCCACAAGGCTGTTATGGACGCCCCTCTGTTTACCAGATATGAGACCAGTTATCACTGCAAACCTTGGCAGTTTTCTAATAAGCTCCATGACCAGAAACGTGGTAGAACTAGGATAAATATTGGAGATGCTTTTAGAAATGGAGATATTTCAAGATCAATGCCGAGCAGGCTCAATACTGGGGACACAGCTGTTTGCAGATGTTTTGAAATTGAAACATTTACGTGTCAGCGATACATTTTGCTCCTTTAAGTGAGCTGTGTTTAACAACTTATGTTTTAATGTGTGTAGCCGTAACATCAACGTTATACCTCAAAGCAGTCAGACTCAGTTGTCTTCAACAGGGGGGTGGCAAAGGTGCCCCTTTGCTGCAAATAATTAGCTACTCTCAATCTTTTAAGGTCCCATTAACACCCCGTATAAAAATGTCCATTTTGACAGCAGACATTAACATGTTTACAGTCTGGTACAAAAAACAGTTTGGATCTCTTTACTCATACATATGGGAGTGAATGTTTTTTCTAACCCATCTGTTTTGTTTATATTAAAGGACATATTTGCATTTTAGGGGTGTGGCTTGTTTAAATGACAGGTGGGCACATTTAGCTGGTTGCCAGGAGGTCCAAGGATGTAGATGATATAACAAAGAGAAAGGTCTTTTACCTGCTCTTTTGTAAAGTTTCTTGAGGTAACATTTGTTAAGAATTAGCGCTTTGCAAATAAAGATTGATTGATCGATTTATTTATTCTTTATAGTCCCCTCTCAGCTCCACCTTTTTGCCTGTTTCTAGATTGATCTTAAGTTAGTTGTAGTCTGCATTTCCAATATGGTGACCACCATCCTAAACCCTTTTCACGCATACGGAAAAGCCGAACGCAGCCGAATATACTCCGGAATTTTTCAATTTGAGCCAATAGGAAGAGAATGACGTTTATATAGTGACCGGCTAAAGTGTCTACACGCGACCTCTACGATCTCCGTGCACGTAATTAAACGGCTGCATTATGTTTTCTGTTCATCAGTATGTTGTTCTCCTCTCTTTTGTGGATGTTGTCATTCCTTTGGATTACACATAGCATTTATATAAAGACAAATATTCTCATTATAACGTCGTGTAGCGGACTCTGTTGCTACGGTTGCTACTTCCACGTTGTTTATTTATGTCACGTCTTACGTCGGGAAATCTCCCCGACCCCCCCTTCCCTCTGACAGGGAAAGTCCCCCGCTGTGAGGAGCATATGTGAACGGCTAGGTCGGGAGAATCTCCAGAGAAGTCCTCCTGTAATTATCTAGATATTATTCGGAGTGCATATGTGAAAACGGCTCTAATGTATAACTTCAGAATGCCTCTTCTGGAACCAATGGGTGACGTCACTGAGACTACATCCATGTGGGATACAGTCTACTGTTAGTACACGGGGTTACATGGAAATAAAAGTCTGCTCCATCCTCTGTGGTAATAAGCGTTCTTAAGTATGTTGGGGTTGTATCAAGTCAACTTTGGTTATATTCTTTAATAATTATACTTAATTATTAATAATATAAATAAAATATCATTAAACTATGTTTAATCTCGCTTTGGGGCACCAACCTGTAATCAGGTAAATATAACCAAAATATCACTCAAATCAGTCTCAAATTAGTTATTTAATTACTAATATTATTAATAATGAATAACTATATTTAATAAATTGAAGGCGTGAAATCCGTACACAAAGCCTTCGCACCCAGTTTATATCACAATGCAAATACACCAGTGATCACAAACAACTGCTCTCTTAAATTATAACAGAATTTATTTAAACAAAGCAACATCAATCCAAAATCAATGAACTTAATTAAACAAATAACTATTATAAACTAATCTAAGCAACAAACATTATCAAGCAAAGGCTTGTGGAAGGGGTGTGAATGTAGGTGTGTGTGTGTGAGAGAGAGAGAGAGAGAGAGAGAAAGAGAGGGAAGAAGAAAGGGGGGGGAGATGGCTTCGTACCCTCGTGGTCGTTCACGATGGCGCAAACCTAACAAAGACCTGGGTGCGTGCGCGTGTGGATGAAAGGGAGAGAGAAGGGGGGGAAGATTACTTCGTCCCACGTGGTCGCCCTTCCGATGGCACACACCTAACAAAGGCCTAAATGTGGCGTTAAGGTCTAAAAGAGACTGAGTTCGGCCCTACACAATCTGTGTCTCTGAGGCGTCTGGATAGCCGCGAGTGTATAGATCTCTGTGCGTAATGGCGCGGTGGTGGAGTTGGTCTCCAGATGTACGTTTACACAGGAATATGTGTGTATGTGTGTGCGTAGAAGGGGAAATAAAAGAGAAATGCGTGCCTGAAAAGGCCGGATCACAGTCCGACTCCCGCGCCACAACTCGGAGTAATTCCCTTCATTCACAGAAACAAACCAATAGCCGAATTCAGGTTAATACGGCTTACACTGGCCTTTCTGATCAGAAGAGTAATACCCGGTTATAACGCTGTTACGATAAACACATATAGGACGCAGCGGTCCGAAACAACAAGAGTTTTAAACAGTTAAAACTCAGGACGCAGCGGTCCAACAAAGATAAAAATTACAGTTTCTGCTTTGATCAACAATTGTTAAAAACACTCTCTAAAGCTAATTCTGCCCAGACCTAATTAAGCCTCACTTGTGAATCGCTTTGTCCGCGATTGGTGAAAGGAAAAGAGTCCGGCGATGGAGCAGATCTTCTGTCCGTCCTGGTGCAGAGGCGTCTGATGGCGGCGAGGGTCCCTTACGGCGAGAACGGCTTCGTTGGTTCTCCGTCGAGTGGAAAGATGTCCGTTGATGTCCTTTCGTTGCAGGACGGAATAAGACCGTTATCTTTCTGATAATCTGTTATAGTCTGACGCTCTCCGAGAAACTGAGATGCGTTCACTGGACAATCCGAGCTCGGAATTTAGAACACTGCCGGCCGCGGATTACCTGCGCGCCAAAAACTTAAAACAAAGGAAGATTGTTGCAGGAAACAGGAGATCTTCTTGGGTCTCCGAGCACCAAGGTCAGCGCGTGAAAGAGGCGAGCAATGGAAGTCTTGGAGTTTTGTAGCCTGGCCTGCTCCATGGTGGGGGTCTACCTCAGGTCCCCTCCAATGAGGAGAGAGAGGTTCCGGTCCCCCCTTTACTTCACACGTAGGTGTGAAGTACTGCAGGGGATTCTGGGATTAAGAGTCCTTTTAGGCCTCTTTGTGATCTCAGTGAATAACTCAAATGAGGCTTTTACAGAGGTGCAGGCCCAAGTCCATTGTTTGACTGTCCTAAGCCTGCGTGGACCAACATCCCCCCTTTGTCCTGAAGAATGGGATTGCAGGTCGCGGTCTTTAGGGCAAATAGGGCCAACAGTCCATGTGTGAGGAGACAAATGTTCAAATAGTTAGTGACCAAAAGTCTATACATTTTGAGAGGCATTCGGTCTGGGCAGACACTGAGGCAAAGTCTGGGCAGACTATCTAACTATGTCTAAAGCTAGGCATAAAACATAACCAGGCATTAGCAAAGCTTTGTTACTCAAGGTGCATTCTTTAACAAAACAAATGAAACAAACAGACAAGAGGAGGGGAGAAAGAGAAGAGTATAAGGTGTAGGTTTGTGGGCTAACTCCTAGCCTGGGCAGGAGTAAGCCTGTGGGAAGGTGTTTGTGGCGTGTAGGTGTGTAAATGTACATGTACATTATGTGTCTCCCTACCAATGTCAAAACACAAAACAGGGACTAGGAAACATTCATGTCGGTAGAGTGACATTGTTGTGTTTCTAGAATGGAGGCTACACCCCCACTCCTATGTGGAGTCAGAATCGGTTCTCTGTAAGCGAGGGAGTCCTTAGGGAGCTCGTAGGAACTCCGATTATACCTACCCTTCTGTCTCAGACTACGGCCATCCCGAGAGTTCCGTTCGATCTGGTAGCGATCAGTTCTCCAGGCTGGAACCTACTCTGTGGTTGAGTCCCACCTTCACCCCTGGCTCTGTTCTCTATTCTGCCGGTGATATGGTCTCTTATTCTTAGCACAAGGCAACTTGTTGCCCTCACGTGACACGTGACGTAAGCGTGTCTGCCAAACCGCCTGTGCGAATCTCTTGATCTCTTTCATACTAAGCTGATGTGTACGACTATGCAGGGTGACATCTGAACGCACGCAGCCATGCAGATTGTGCATGAAGATGGACTTGAAAGTTGGGTTCTCTTCCAAACCTGGAGCCTCACGTCCCTGGAAATATGCAGATCTTAGTCGCCAGTAATAATCTTTGGGGGCCTCGTGCTTCTGGTGCAAGACACTGAAAGCACTAAGAAGGGCAGATGCAGGGTCAATGTAGGTGGAGTATTCCTGGCGCAAAGCATTGCAGAGCGCAGAGTACTGGTATCTGATCTCAGGCTGAAGGGTAGTCGTGAAGTTACGGACACTCTTGGAAGTTGTCTTCCAGATCAGCCTGAGTTTTTCTCTTGTGGATGCATCAGGTACCTCACTGAGACACAGGTTAATCTCTCTGAGGTAATCATCGATGCAGAGGTCTGAGTTATCTGGATCAAACCGCTCTACATCCTGTGCCATAGATTCAATGAGCCTTATGCGCATTCTTTGATCTCTGGGTAGAAGGGAGCCATCCCAGTCATCTGAGGTTTGGATATTCCTCAGCCGTGAATCCTGCAATGGGAACCTACAGGTAGCAGGAGGGGGCCTGGTGTTATCTCTGCCTCTGGGGGCTGAGAAGTCACCCCCTTCCTATGTGGTGATTCAAACCTGTGAAGGTGTGAAAGGGTGTCACAGTTGTCAGAGAACTGGGGCGTTTCCCCAAGGAGCGGGGCTCCACAGTCAAAATCAGGGAAAACTAGACTTATTTCCTCAGTCCTTGGGTTATCCTGGCTGCTCGGTTCTTTACTGAGCTTTTTCAGCAGGGTTGTTTGATCTCTTAAGGGGCTTGGTCCAGGATCAGAGTCATATCCTGACGATATGTCTTGCTCCATGCTTACCTGTGCTCCCTGAATTAATTCAAACATGTCCAACACTTTCTGCTTGGCAGTTTGTAAGTGCTGACTAACAGATTTGTTTCCTTTCTGCAAGGATCGGACCTTTGGTGGGAGTGTCCCCATGAAATCACGGACACTCCTAGCCGTAGTCTTCCAGATCCGTTTCAGTTTTTCATGTGAGGACGCATGAGGCAGGTCAAGGAGACAATGGTCAACTTCTCTAAGGTAGTCGTTAATACTTGAATCTGGGCTATCTGGGTCAAAACGCTTCAGATCTTTGGCCTGAGGTTCTATCTGCCTGGTTCGCAGGCCCTGACCCGAAGGCTGGCAAGGGTCGTCCGATTCGTCTGACGAATCGTAAGCCCTGTGGTTGTCACGGTAGTAGGGTTGTAACCGTGGCGGGGTTTGTGTTCGGCTCAGACGTGGCCGTCTATCGTGGGACAGGTAGCGTTCGGTGCCCAATTGGGCCCGTGTCTCCTCCCTGTCTCTAGGGGGAGTAAAGCCTCTCCTCCTGCGGGGTGAGGGTTCTCTTCGCTCAAAGCGTATTGCGGAACGCGGGGGCCCTTCATCTTTAATCATCCAGCTCTTTACCGGGTGGTCTGAGGACGTGGGCGCTTTTGTGCCTGGGTCGACCCGGCGGTGCCTTCCCCTCTCCTCCAGATCCTGCAACATGTCTGTCTCCCTCCTCCAGGGGCTTGTTTCAGTCTCCCATCCTTCGTCTGAGGTTTCCTCAGCTGATCTGGGGGCTGCAGTACTTATCTGCCTATCCTGAAATCTGGGTACCGTGTCACTTCGTTTCTTCTGTTCGGCCAGTTTGCTGCTTTCATGCAGTGTTTTATTCTCCTCCTGCAGGGCCTTGCAATTTTCCTGCAAGGTCTTTAGTTTATCCTGCATTCTTTCGAAGTCGTCCCGCAGGATCTGTCCTTCTTCTAGTACCCGGGCTAGCTGTTCCCGGTGTATCTCATTCTGCACATTTGATTTGCGCTGATAAAGGAGGAGAATTTCGCCTAGAACATCTGAAACTGTACGTGTTGGCTTCCCAGTTGGTTGATTTGCATATTCAACCAAGCCCTTTAGTTTCTTTTCACATGTGCTGAGGGTGTAGGAGTTCAGGCTGTCGAGCTGCTCTATAGGGAGGTGGATAAGATTAGCAACTACGTCTTGAAGGGGTGGATCGTCTGATCCATAGTGAGCTTTGGCCCATAGTTGATGTATGTCTTCTGCATACATTCTGTCTTTATTAGGGGTGAGCCTGGCTCTGTGGTTGACAAGATCAACTAGCTCTTCTAACTTCTTATCACTAATGCTAATTGACTAGCTATATAGGTTGACACTCTCTCTAAGGAGAGGTTCGTCAGACCGGCAGCAGTTTCTTGCAGTGCTGCGTCGTCTGATCCAAAAGGAGTCTCAGCCCCCGACTCACCTAGGGTCTTGGTACACAAGAGCAAATCTTATCTAAGTTTCCCAACTGATCACTGCAGTCTATCCTGGAAGATAGGAGAGGGGATTCACACCTCAAGTCCTCAAAGGAAGGGAGGAACTCACACCTCTCAGACAGCTGGCTATGCAACAATGATGAGGTTACACTCTCATCTGGCCAAATGGCTCTCAAACAACAAGGAGCACCACAATCCTTTAGTAGAATACTTCAGGATCAAAATCTAGATTAATGCAACAAATCAAGTTCCTTGATAAAGTCACACTAGCTGCATCATTATGTCCAATTGTTGTATGGACCCAAAGGGGACAACAGTTATGGCTTTAACCATTAACTAACAACATACAACACAACTAAGCCACAGCTTGATGTCTGCTTTGCTTAAACCACAAAAATTTAAAGAAAATATAATTTTCTTCCGAAGGATCCTTTTTAGGATTTTAAGTTTGGATTACTGTGCATTTACAGTGCAATAAAGCTGGTTTATTGAAGGCCTCACACGGGGCACCATTTGTTGGGGTTGTATCAAGTCAACTTTGGTTATATTCTTTAATAATTATACTTAATTATTAATAATATAAATAAAATATCATTAAACTATGTTTAATCTCGTTTTGGGGCACCAACCTGTAATCAGGTAAATATAACCAAAATATCACTCAAATCAGTCTCAAATTAGTTATTTAATTACTAATATTATTAATAATGAATAACTATATTTAATAAATTGAAGGCGTGAAATCCGTACACAAAGCCTTCGCACCCAGCTTATATCACAATGCAAATACACCAGTAATCACAAACAACTGCTCTCTTAAATTATAACAGAATTTATTTAAACAAAGCAACATCAATCCAAAATCAATGAACTTAATTAAACAAATAACTATTATAAACTAATCTAAGCAACAAACATTATCAAGCAAAGGCTTGTGGAAGGGTGTGAATGTAGGTGTGTGTGTGTGTGTGAGAGAGAGAGAGAGAGAGAGAGAGAGGGAAGAAGAAAGGGGGGGAGATGGCTTCGTACCCTCGTGGTCGTTCACGATGGCGCAAACCTAACAAAGACCTGGGTGCGTGCGCGTGTGGATGAAAGGGAGAGAGAAGGGGGGGGAAGATTACTTCGTCCCACGTGGTCGCCCTTCCGATGGCACACACCTAACAAAGGCCTAAATGTGGCCTTAAGGTCTAAAAGAGACTGAGTTCGGCCCTACACAATCTGTGTCTCTGAGGCGTCTGGATAGCCGCGAGTGTATAGATCTCTGTGCGTAATGGCGCGGTGGTGGAGTTGGTCTCCAGATGTACGTTTACACAGGAATATGTGTGTATGTGTGTGCGTAGAAGGGGAAATAAAAGAGAAATGCGTGCCTGAAAAGGCCGGATCACAGTCCGACTCCCGCGCCACAACTCGGAGTAATTCCCTTCATTCACAGAAACAAACCAATAGCCGAATTCAGGTTAATACGGCTTACACTGGCCTTTCTGATCAGAAGAGTAATACCCGGTTATAACGCTGTTACGCTAAACACATATAGGACGCAGCGGTCCGAAACAACAAGAGTTTTAAACAGTTAAAACTCAGGACGCAGGTCCAACAAAGATAAAAATTACAGTTTCTGCTTTGATCAACAATTGTTAAAAACACTCTCTAAAGCTAATTCTGCCCAGACCTAATTAAGCCTCACTTGTGAATCGCTCTGTCCGCCATTGGTGAAAGGAAAAGAGTCCGGCGATGGAGCAGATCTTCTGTCCGTCCTGGTGCAGAGGCGTCTGATGGCGGCGAGGGTCCCTTACGGCGAGAACGGCTTCGTTGGTTCTCCGTCGAGTGGAAAGATGTCCGTTGATGTCCTTTCGTTGCAGGACGGAATAAGACCGTTATCTTTCTGATAATCTGTTATAGTCTGACGCTCTCCGAGAAACTGAGATGCGTTCACTGGACAATCCGAGCTCGGAATTTAGAACACTGCCGGCCGCGGATTACCTGCGCGCCAAAACTTAAAACAAAGGAAGATTGTTGCAGGAAACAGGAGATCTTCTTGGGTCTCCGAGCACCAAGGTCAGCGCGTGAAAGAGGCGAGCAATGGAAGTCTTGGAGTTTTGTAGCCTGGCCTGCTCCATGGTGGGGGTCTACCTCAGGTCCCCTCCAATGAGGAGCGAGAGGTTCCGGTCCCCCCTTTACTTCACACGTAGGTGTGAAGTACCGCAGGGGATTCTGGGATTAAGAGTCCTTTTAGGCCTCTTTGTGATCTCAGTGAATAACTCAAATGAGGCTTTTACAGAGGTGCAGGCCCAAGTCCATTGTTTGACTGTCCTAAGCCTGCGTGGCCCAACAAGTAAACAGCACTTCTTTCTCTCCAGGCGGCAGCTGTTCACAGAGGTGTTTCTAGTCACAAATGCAGACAAGTAAGTACTAACTGTTCCATATCTCATTTTGGGTTGATTCCTGCAGTCCGGTAACAGTTTACACATTCTGTAACACTGACCAGGTATAAGCACTTTGAGCGCTGGGCCACAGCTAATGACTTCCCGCTGGAAAACCTGGTGAATGATGGCAGCACTACGTTGGAGGACCGCCTTGGTGCTGTGGCCGACCTGCAGCTGGCCATACGCAGCCGCAAGCTTCAGGACGACATCATGGTGGTGCGAATAAGTATACCACTCTTCTTTCTATCTGTGCTGACAGGTTTTACTTTGTTAAAATCGATGTGTGTCACACAGTCAGGGTCGTCTTTATGTCTTAACAGATTGCAGGAGACATGCTGTGTGCAGACCAGAACTTTGACATCGCTCAAGTTATCCGTTTCTTCAGGTCACAGGTGAGATTTACTACGATGCAAATGCGCTCAATGATGTAGTGCTTACTAGAGGTGGGAAGAAAAATGATTCATGTAAAAATCAAGATTCTTATCTTCAAAGATTTAATATCAATTCATAACTCCAAAAAGGCTTTTTATTTTGTTCTAATCAGTCAGTCCTTGTTAAGTGCTAAGGCTAGCTCTTTAACTCAGTAGAATGCAAAATGGAATAACAAGAAATTCACCAATCTCACAGATGACTGGAGTAGATCCTGAAGTATGTACTTGTTCAAATATAGACTTTGAATCCATGAATCCAGAATCGTTTTGAATCGAAAATCGATTCTGAATCAAATGGTGACCCCAAGACTCAAAAATCGAATCGTGAGACACCCAAAGATTCCCAGCCCTAGTGCTTACAGTACGTTCACACACAAAACCATTTTAGTGGAGAAAGATAATTAACCAAAAACGCGCCTCTTCAGGTCTTTGGAGGAAGGAAGCCACCAGACTTCACTGACAAAAACAGTAAACCTATCCTGCAGAGCTCAGGAGTTGCTGGTCTGTAAATGCGTTGATAAGTTGCTTTGTTTGAGTTTTATGAGTTACACAAACAGAAAAGTCTGCCTTTGGAGTGTGTCTTCTAGTAAGTTTGTCACATACTTAAACTTTTCACATGCACATTTGCATTAGTCATTCAGGCGACACAATTC